CTATAGTCAAATATGTTTCTTCAAGGATGCGAGGTGCAATATATGCAAGAAAAGAGGCCACATTTCATCAGTGTGCAGTCAAAATAAGGGTAAAAATTTTAAATTTAAATTTGTCGATTTAGCAGAAGACAGAGTTAATTCTGATGATTCCGATGAGGAATTGAATTTTTTTAATATAACACATAAATCCGAAAAACCTCTGAAAATCAAATTGAAGGTGGAAAATGTGTCAATATTAATGGAGGTCGATACTGGATCACCAATTTCTGCTATTTCGGATGAATTTTATGTAGATCATTTCAAAAATGTAACGTTAAATGTTTCAAAATTAAATTTAAAATCATATGCGGGTGACTTGTTAAATACTTTAGGGTTTATTTGTGTAAGCGTGGTTCACGAAAATATTGTGCAAAAGTTGAAATTATTTGTCGTAAAAAATGGAGGTCCTCCAATTATTGGCAGAAATTGGATCAGAAATTTAAATATCTCGGTAGATAATCTACTTAATATTAATCAGTTAACGCAATTTCAAATAACGGAAACTCTCAAATCTAAATTTCCGGAAGTTTTTGCCGAAGGTTTAGGAAAATTTAATAAGGGTTTGGCAACTTTGCATTTAAAAAATAATTCAGTGCCTGTTTTCTGTAAAGCGCGGAATTTGGCTTTGGCGTTAAAAGATAAAGTTGAAAACGAATTAATCAATTTAATTAAATTAAATATTTTAACCCCTGTAGAATTTAGTGATTGGGCCACACCAATTGTACCAGTTTTGAAAAAAACCGGCGAGGTGCGCATCTGTGGGGATTACAAAATTACTTTAAATCCTAAATTACAGGTCGATAATTACCCAATTCCAAAAATTGAGCACTTATTCGCGAAATTAAACAAGGGCCAATATTTTAGTAAAATTGATCTATCCCAGGCCTATGCCCAAATTGAACTGACAGACGAATCGAAGGCTCTGACAGTCTTGAACACACATAAGGGGCTTTTTCAAATGAACAGGCTTCCTTATGGGGTGGCTTCAAGTCTGGGTATTTTTCAGAGAATAATTGAAAGTATGTTTGCAGGTATGAATAACGTTGCCATTTTTTTGGATGATATTCTTATCACGGGAAAAAACTCTGAAGAGCATTTAGAAAACCTTTTTAAAGTATTCGAAAAATTGCGTGATTGTGGGTTGAGAATAAAAATTTCTAAATGTGCATTTTTTCAAAAAGAAATAAATTTTTTAGGCTATACCATAAATAAATTTGGTTTGACTACATCATCTGATAAGGTAGAAGCTATATTAAAAGCCCCAATACCAACTGATATCACAACTTTAAAATCTTTTTTAGGTTTGGTTAACTTTTACGGTAAATTTATTCCAAATTTAAGTACCAAGTTGCATCCTTTACACACCCTTTTAAAAAAACACTCACATTGGAAATGGGGAAAATTGCAAGATCAGTGTTTTGATCAAATAAAAAAAGAATTAGCTTCTCCAAAATTGCTGGCACATTATGATCCTGATTTATCAATTTTTTTGGCTTGTGATGCGAGTTCATATGCTTTAGAAGGGGTGATATCGCATACCTACCAAAATGGAGACTCTCGTCCTATAGCATATGCCTCGCGCACTCTGACAGAAGCAGAAAAAGCTTACAGCCAATTAGATAAGGAGGGAGCAGCTATAATTTTTTGCTTAAAAAAATTCCACGATTATCTCTTCGGTAGATTTTTTACCCTTTTATGTGATAATAAAGTATTAGTAAATATATTTGGCCCTAAAAAGGGACTCCCAATTTATGCCGCCAGTAGATTGCAAAGATGGAGTGTTATTTTTGGTACCTACAATTGCGAAATTAAATTTATCAAATCCGAAAAAAATATTGCAGATGCATTGTCACGTTTACCTTTAAAAACGAAAAAGGAAGAAAATTTCGATTATTCACATATTTTTCATTTAGAAGAAAACCTTCCAATCGATTATAAAAAAATTGCTTTGTATACAAAAAAGGATCCAATTTTAAATATTATTTTTGGCTATTGTCTACATGGTTGGCCAGAAAAAAACGAAATTTTGGATAAATTTTTATCTTAAACGTGACCAAATGCATTTGGAACATGGCTGTATTTTATGGGGGTATAGGATGGTGGTTCCCGAGAAATTGAAATCATTTTTATTGGAGGAAAATCACTTGAGTCATATGGGCATAAATAAATGTAAAGCTATGGCTCGATCGTACTTTTGGTGGCCTAATATCGACTTAGATATCGAAAAAATGTGCAAAGAATGTCCCACTTGTAATTCTGTAGCGATGGATCCACCAAAGGTACCCTTACACCCTTGGCCCTATGAAAACAAGCCTTGGAGTCGATTACATTTGGATTTCATGGGTCCCATATATGGTAATAAATATTTGATTGTTATCGATTCATTTAGTAAATGGCCTGCAGTTTTTAAAGCTAATCGTACTGATGCTAGGAATGTAATTAAAATGTTGACTCATTTGTTTTCAAACTTCGGGTTGCCAACAAAAGTGGTATCTGATAATGTCCCCCGCTTCACTTCTTTTGATTTTCAGCAATATTTGAAATTAAATGGAATTAAACAATTATTTTCCACCCCCAAGCATGCTCAAAGCAACGGGCAAGCTGAAAATTCCGTAAATTTTTTTAAAATAGCCCTGAAAAAAGCACTGTTTGATAAAAAAGACCCCGATTTATTTTTGGAAAAATTTTTGTTTGACTACAGAAACACTCCACACTGTGTAACGGGTGTGAGCCCTGCCCAATCCATGTTCCAAAGAAATTTAAGAAATAAACTTGATTTAATTAGACCAGATTCGAGAAAAATTATTCAGGAAAACATTGAAAAACAAAAGAAATGTTTTGGAGGAACCAAGAGAGAGTTCAATATTGGTGATAACGTTTTTTTAAGGATTTTCAGGGAAATCAGGGAAATTCAACTTGGTCAGAATGGAAAGTAATAGGTCAGGAAGGCTCGGTTATATTTGATATAAAAAATAAAGAAGGAAGAGAGTATAGGCGTCATTCTAATCAACTTCGAAAATCGATTTCAAAAAATACTATGCCTAGTTCTGTGATGCCTGTCATTTTTCCAGATAATTCAACTTTGCACAATACAGAGGCCGAACCCATTTTTTCCGAAAAAGTTGTTTCAACTTCTTCTCAGTTAGATACTAATTCTACTCCGAGTGTTATTAATTCTAGGTATAATTTACGATCTCAAAAAAAAAAAATACAAATACTGATTCTGAGGCTGTGAATGATAATTGAAGTTAAATATATATATTTTTTGTGCAAACTATAAATAGGTATCCTTTGGTTGATTAGGTATCGATTGTTATTATTATAAGGTAGGTACAAAATATTTTTTTTTTTCTTCTTAAGCCTGTATTAAAGTTATATTTGGGAAAGTCTATTTTCAACTGGAATAAATAAATGTATTTAAATTAATTATAAGGATTTAGTATTAGCATTGTACTAAGTAATAATGTTTGGGAATACATGATTTTATTTTATTTTGGTTTTGTATACACATAAGGGGATTGTTTTTAAGTTGTTGTGTAACTTTGCCACTGAGGTAGGAAGGTGTAGTAAACTCACCCTATATTTAAGTTGATGGTACCGTTCTGTATACATTCCAATGCTTTTTATTATATTGTTTACATTAACCGTACCGTGAGTACCCAGAAATATATCATTCTTCTCACTTACGATTCAGCAACGAAATAAGGCGTTTTATTTCTCCCGCAAATAATAAATTTAATAAATTAAATAAATTAAATAATTATAAATCAAGTCAAATTATTACAAGAACAGAATGTGCAAGTCTGCAAATGGAATGTGACTGATTTTTTTTATACTTGTTATAAAAAAAATTCTACTTATTTGTCAAATGTAAAACTGTTAAAATTGTTGAAGTGTCTTCTTATGTATGTTACTGCTTTTTTGAGCTACTTATAGTTTTATTGTCATTTTGCCATATGTCCTCGATATTACTCATAATTTTGATAAGAATATGTTTTTTGATATTTAGGTATTGACTTTTATTATTTAAAAATATTTTATTTTTCCAATATTGTAAATGCTATTGTAAGTACCTATATGCCTAAATAAAGATTTGATGGCACCAGTATTATTCGGCTAGAATATTTCAACAAATAAATCAGATCAAAGAGTGAATACTAAACTCAGCAGTTAATAATCCTAACTGTGAATGGAATCAGTATGTATGTACCTACTCAAAGTGAGAACGAGAGTGAGAAAAACACTTGTTTCAGAATACCAAAACTTGAAACAATTTTTATATTTCAAGAACAAAATTATGTGTTGTGAAAGAGCAGCCATGGAGATAGAAAATATTGCATTACCTACTTCACCAATAGTTGATTTCACCAACCCTTGGAACATTTCGAAAAAGACTGAAGGAAATACTGGTTTCCGCTGAAATTTATTGACAACTATTTTTTATCAGAAGTTGTTTAAATAAATACATAATAATGCCCTTGGCAATTGCAAAACAAATCATTTCAGTTGTGCGTCAATTCACTTTATCTAACAAACTTATCAATTTGGTTATTGGAAGATGTTTTAATTGTTTTAAAGCAATAAATAATGGGGCTTGGCGCATGATTGATATGTTGGTAACAAGCCAGGTAAATAAAATCTGATGCACTTTCCTCAATTTCAAGTTAACAATTCAAGTCTCACAAAAACGTCAAACTATAGAATAAGTAATAAGATGTCAACTTTATAAAGTGTCCAATGAACCAGTTGCCCAATACCTAACTATTTTGGAAACTTATATAATATTATTGTTATTTCTAATAGGTATACCCTCGGGTATACCCTTCATTCCTCCTAGAAATGAATTATAAAAGTGAGTACTAGAATCCGCAGGTTTTGTCATTCGGTTTGGAAAAAAAGAGAATTTTAAGTTTGAGATATGAAAAGAAGAAAAGATGAGATATGTATAAGGTATAACTCGCCTCTACAACAGAATTAACTTCTTTAATGGAATCCACCATGTCTTGTACAATTTCCTCAGTGCTGAGTACTTCATAAGGATAATCATCAGAGTCAGTTTGCTTTTCTCTGTGTCCTGTAACTTCAACCTCCATAGGAAAATCAACATCATCCCCACTAGATTCGTTTCCAGAGTCGACATCATCGTAGGTTTCTTCTTCGGAATCCATTTTCTACTAGTTAAATTTGAATCGCCAATTACCTAGTTTTCAACAATTTTTTTTTTTTTCACTAAATTGACACTTTTGTTTAAATTAGGCCTCTCAAAAAGGAAATAACAAAACCCAAATTATTACGCTCCTCCTCATTATCTTTTGTTGCCATTGCCAACAATGCCAACCCAACTAGATTGTCATTTGTCAAACTTGACTTATTTCTAAGCGTTTTCACGAGTTGTGGTATTTTAGCCGCTTTCCAGCTGACCATTTTGAGCACGCAATTGAGCTTTTGCGCACGCAAATGCTTCAAGCGCGTGTTCGTGTTCCAGCCGTACTGCGCTTCGAGAGCTGCTAACTTTTGCGTTTCAAACACAGAACACTGTGCTGCACCGTGCTTGAAGCACACAGCTGGAAAGCGGCTTCTGTAACCATTCCGATACACAGGAGGCACGAGAAAGAACCGACCGAAAAGCGCTACACCCACTGGTGCGATCACATCTCGGAGCGTGCGCGGCCAAACGTTGCTGAAGGCGCTGAAGGACACCCAGATAAGGAAACATGAACCGTTTCACACTGTTGTGTTCCTCTCAGACCTAGGAGGAGCTCCGGGGCGTTACGCGCTTATTCCTTTCGAGAAGTGTTTGTTGCACCACGCATCTGTTCCTTCCAAATCGGGGGCGACTAACACCGGAGCGAGTAGCTCGACTGTTCTAAACTCTTGAAAGGAATACAACTACTGGCGCGAGAACAAGCGGCCTAGCGGCGTTCTATTCTGCGATGGCGATCAGTAGGGCCGGTTTAACCAGGGGTCTTTTGGGTGCTGTAGCACCGGGCGGCAAAATCTTAGGGGCGGCGCGCGAAGCGCGTAAGGACCCTTAAAATTTCAATGTATCCTCTTTATTATAACTTTTTTTATTTCTTGAACCATAATACGAAAAAGCAAAGCAAAAAGCTACAAGTTAGTTTAGGGATTACTACCAATACGTACTACGTACCTATAGAAAAAATAAGTAAGTACAATTACGCCCGTCTGTATAGCCATGCCCAGCTCTACTTTAATTCCAGGTCGGGGATTCTAAAATCACGATTCGACATACGATTCGACAACGAGACGATTTTTCCGACGATTCTAGGTTAGAAATCTCATTGGAATTATAGCTTTCGACACGACAAGGCCGGTATCGTTGTCGAGTCGTGTGTCGAATCGTGATTTTAGAATCTCGGCCCTGAGCCGCTTTCCAGTATGGGAGTGTGACGCCCGGAGCTACTCGGGGCTTGAGCCCCCGAGCTGTTTGTACGCGTCAACCTATCAGCTGTCACATCTGTGGGTGGCTATTTATCTATTTATTTCTTGTTATATCTCAAGATTGAACATTTTAAAATATATAGTTTTGATTCTCTTTCATTTATGATAAATGAAAAAACAAACTGCACAAACAAACAGATAATTATTTTTAAAATTTGACATATTTGACACTAACACAGGCGTCTCACGCCATGATACTGGAACGGTACAAATCTAGTGCGTGGCGCCCCCGAGGTGCTCTGGAGCGCGCCAGAGCGCGCCAATGTGCATACTGGAAAGCGGCTCTGGAACCGTATTACTCGTGCGATAGCCGACAGCGATAACAGACAACACTCAGCTCGCATCTCACTTCAATTATTCATTTCAAGATAATGATAAAATTGTTTGGCGGCGGCGCCGTTGCGGAATAAATATATACTGGGACCAGAGAAAACAGTCCACCCCGATTTTTTCGATTTGAGATGATAATCGGGAAAAACGCTCGGACACGCCGATTTTTGATTTGAGGGGGAAATATTTTTCAATTTTTTTCATCCCCGTAGCTTCAACCCCTTAGCTAGGAGGAGAACAACCCCCCAAATTTGAATAGGGGATATAAGGGTCGAGTCACCTCTTTTCAAAGGTCTCGGTCTCATCGAGTTCTTTATGGCCCTAGAACTTCGTCTTATTATTTTCATCCGCAACGAAGTGACAGCTTGTCAAAATCTTGGAAATATACTGGGGCGAGTTCAGAAATAAAACACCGGGTGTGAGTGCGATTTTATGGGTGTGACTGAAATGACAATTCTTAGGCGACCACTATCGAATGAATTTCTGAACGCTTGGTGTGACCAATCGAGCATCTCCTCAAAAATTTCACCAAATGTATCAGGATTACTTTTTTTTGTTGTTCATTTTTTTAATTTGAAGAAAAACCTTTAATTCTTATTTGTGTTCTGTTTATATTTGGTGGGAATAATGAGATTATGGGTCATTTTGGGAGAAATGGTTGACATTGAAGACACAGAGACACAACCACACCGCAGCCACACCAAAAAATTATGGTGTGACCGGTGCGACACCTGGAGCGCGCCCGAAGTACTTTCTGAACGGAACAGAGTGCGCGCACTCGGTGTGCCTATAGCATTTATGAACGGCTAGTGCGTCGCACCGGTGTCACACTCACACTGGTGTGTCATTCCTGAACTCGCCCCTATTGTTTTAGTAGGAGTACAAGCGGTACTTGCCTCCCTTAATAAACATACTTACAAATTACAATTCACGTGTTCACCTGATTAATAATAATAATAAAAAACTTCAATTTCAACTATGTATTTTTATTAAAGGAGGTAAGTACCTATCGCTTTTACTCCCACTACAACAATAGTCTATTCCCAAGATTTTGACAAGCTGTCATTTGGTTACGGATGAAAATAATAGGACGAAAATCTAGGGCAATAAAGAATACTTGATGAGACCTTGAAAAAGAGGTAGGACACGACCCCTAGCCCCTATTCACATTTGGGGTGTTGTTCCCCCCCTCAACTAGGGGGTTAAAGCTACGGGTGATAGACAAAACTGAAAAATAGTTTCCCTTCGAATCAAAAATTGACGTGTCCGAGCGTTTTTCCAGATTCTCATGCCAAATTCAATAAATCGAGGTGGACTGTTTTCCCTAGGACACCCTCTATAAAAGAATTGCATACATTTTTTGAAATAAATGCTCCAAATTTTTTTTTTGTTCTATTCCGAACGGTCGGGGGGCGCTGCGTTTTTGTAGCACCGGGCGGCAAACTACCCTAAACCGGCACTGGCGATCAGATTCAACTTGTCGAGTTTGATCGCGGGATTGCGACGCAATTATGAATTTCCGGTTATTTTGTATAATAATATATAATTTTGTTGCATTTTGAAAAAGAAGTTACCAGGGCAGTGAGTTGAGGCCGTAAGAGAGCACAAAATAGGCACCTTGCATCAATTTTTTTATTGCTGATTTCGTTTGTCAATGAAAAATTAGTCAACACGTGTTTTTTCTTTTTCTTGTTAGACAAAAATTGATAAAGATACAACGCTTTGAAATGTGCTTATTTTTGGTATCCCGTGACGTCACTTCATGCTGAGTATATCTATATATACAAAACTTAATCTTTGTATAACTTTCGGAATATTCATATTTGGACAAAATAAAAAAATACCTTCGTATAGATTTTTTTCCGATTTCCTACAGTTTGGAATAAATAACAGTTATCAATTTAATTTTTCATGCAAGGTGCCTATTCTTTGTGATTTATCCGATGTGGGCTACAAAAATAATAGAATCAGAAATAAAGTTTGGGACGAAATTGGAGTTGCACGGTACAAACATATTGACCGCGTTAATATGTGCTGGAATGATCGCTCATGATATCGCTACCCTGATCGTGATCGTGATCAGCCGTGAGCGCACCAGTGTGCGTAGACCTTAACACACCTGAGCTGTTTTCTCGCGTTCACTTGTTTGAAACTGGTTCGAAACAATTCTCGCGATAAATCCATGACGTCATATCAAAATTGGTTCAAACCGGTTCGAAATACAATCCAATCCACGGTTTAAAACCATTTTGTCTCGCCGAGAAGTTATGACGTCATGTGACACTGTTTTAACCAGGAGCGCTTTCTTTCATTCATCGATGTATCCATCTGAGGCATCTGAATCGACTGAATCCACCATTATGAGACAGCCATTCCGGTTTTCTATGAACTAGACAAAAATAGATTGGTCGATGGAAGCGGATGGATCCATCGGTGAATAAAAAGGCCTTTACGTTACGGTTACCTGGGCTGCGTTCAAAAACCGCTAAAGCCAAGCCAAAATTGGCATATTGCGTTCAAGTTCGGCTCCAGCGTGCGAAAAACGGTTAGCTTTACACGTTCAAAATTGGCCGCGGTAAAGTAACTGTTGGAGGAGCTTTCAACTGAGTCTAGAAATGGTTATACGAATTTTGATTGGATATGTGGGGTTTGTCACTTTTGGCGCAAATAACAACACATAAATAATACGATAGAAAAAGCTTCTAGAGGAAGTGGAAGTGGTGAATAGATAATACTAACGCTAACGATCTGAAAATAATAAATTTAAACATTTTACGAAAATTAAAAAATAAGCATAAACAAAGCGGGGACACATTTATAGGTTAATTTTGATGGCAAGTGTCCTGATAATTTAGAAACGGTATTTGTATTGGCGTTCCAACAAATTCACACCCAGATTTGGCATCGTCGGTAGAAGGGGAAAAGTAGGTTTTGACATTAGCATTGACGTCCTTGAACGCACTCCTGATCACCGGCTGACGTAATTTTTCTTTTTTTAATCGTGTTCATTGAAGAAAGATGAAAAACCAGCAGTCTAATCGGGTTAAGCCTAGTACTCATATCTGCGAAATTCGCACTTTTTTGACACTGCTTCGACAATTTGACGTTTGATTCACGCATAAAACGTCAAATTGTCGAAGCAATGTCAAAAAAGTACGAATTTCGCAGTTATGAGTACAAGGCTTTAATCGGATCAGCGTTTCTGTAATGGTGGGTTTACAAGAAAAAATGAACACTCTAACTAATTTAAGAACATTAACTTACAGCTAAAAATTTCCACGTGCGCTTACGTATTCTTAATTCTTAGTTGATAAGTTTTAATTTTTTCTTTATGAACCGCTATATTACATCATCAGTGATGTGCCTGTAGACATTGTCAACGTAAGCAATTGATTGTCTACATGTAGACAATTCGAATTGTTTACGCGGGCATTTGTCTACACATTGTCTACATGTGACGTAAACAATAAACTTATTTTAGAAAATTTTAAAAAATTTCCAAAATTACTACCTACTACCTAATTAGGCATTCCAGGT